ACAGAACCCTTTCCCCCCCCCCCCCCCCCAATCCATATTATATGATAGGAACCTACGGAAACGGGTCGGGCCGAGTAACGCTTGTCACAGGTTCTGGGTTCGATGTCACTGCAGTGCGCCAGCTTTAAAGGTGCATCCTGGAAGCTAAATCCTGGCAGCCCTCAGGATATGGTACTAAAATCAAGCTCCAGAAATGTGAAAAGAGAAGGAATTCCCTTTAAATCTAATGACCACTATTAGGCTGTTTTAAATTATTATTTTCAGACAAAACGACAACAGATTTCTTCATAAACTCCATGTTTATTGATTCCAACATTTGTGACAATTCCAACATTTTCAGACACTTTAATATTGAGATAAAACAGTTTCCTTCACAGACACCTTTCATGTTTTTAACAGAAAGTCTCAACTTCAAATTCAGCAACAACGAGCCCATTCTTACTGAGATTCACACTGACAGGACATGGCCAGAGGTCTATGGAAACCAGGTCATCGTAAAAGTCTTGGACAAAAGTAAGTGGACACACTGGTCAGCATGTAGTGTGTAGACAGAGCTATGCTCATACTTTTGACCATAAGGTGTAGTCATGCTTGGTTTTAATCTAACTTAACCATTTTGTACAAAATAGAAATCAAGTAGGCCAACTCATAGGTCCCTGCAATATCACGGATCTAGAAATTAAACCTTGCCCACCTCCTAGTGTGAACCAACTAGAAAAAATAAAATTATACCACATCTGTGGAAGGTCATTTCACCAGGAACAGAGGATATTTAAAGTTAGGTATTAGTGAAATGTCTGATTTACCAGAGTAGTAGCACATTGTTTTGGTCATTTCTAATAAATCAGCCTTTGTTCCCAGTGAAATCAGTTTTGTTCACGTTTCTTCTCAAACAGCTAATAGAAGTCAAGATACAAAGGTTTTTTTAAGTCATTCTAAAGAGAAACCAGCAGAGCCTCTTGGTTATCAACAGGTCTGTGCTGGTCAGCAACAAACGAACACAGTCAGTAGTACATCCAGGCCATGTTAAGGCAAAGGGTGACGGGTTTAAGGACGATGGTGGCCTGGGAACAACTGGACATGTTTAATTAAAAAAAAAAGTGTACTTTATGTATATATTAACCGGCTGATAAATTCAAGAAGCATCATTTCATGATGGCTTTTAAAAAAAAAAACAGAAAATGACCAGTAGGTAAACACAAAACATTGGTTTATAATAAAGTCTAAAAGCCTAAATTATGAGTTTCAAAAACAAATTGTGTATATATATATAAAAAGGATTTTAATATTTTCAATCAAAAGTGTAAATGGGCATTTAATGTAAACAAAAGATTATATATGTGTGAGACAAAAACATAAAAATGATTTTAGAATTTCAACTAAATCAAAAAAATCTCAATTAAAATTTTAATAAAACAGAGTCCCGAATAAATTATCGCAGAACTGTTTAAATACTGTACGATTGGTGGTTGTTCTAACAACTTGCTAACTAGGAAAAGACGTGTACACGTAAGCTACATTTAGCTCCAATCTTCTAGTTGTCATGGCACTAAAAAGGAAATTAAAAGACAGAACATTGTGATTTGGCTAATCAAAGCTCCTGAGGTGATCTGAGCTCTGACTGGCCAGCTCAGCAACCAGCAGAAGTTCAAAACTATTTTGAGGCAAAAGACATGAGGTGCTTGGTGTTTTCTGCAAAACCAGAATTATTAATCACTAATTATATCTGTTAGTGTGCACACTATCATAACAGTTACCAAGTAACTTAAATAATTTAACTTTCTGATTGCGATCAAACCTTCAGACATGATGCCAACTAGCACGGTAGCTAATGACAGTGCTCTGTGATGTCGACGACAATCGCCTTCTTCCAGCTAAACAGGAAGTAGCCCATGCCAGCACCAGCTGCCACGGCGATGCACAGGTAACCGTTGTAGGTCATGAAAACAAGCATCAGGAAGTAGCTGACAACCACCTGAATGATGTGCAATAGGGTCTGCAGGAAGTGGGCGTGGCTTAGCATCCGCTGCCTAAGGGGACAACAGGAAGGGGTTAGCATTACTGTTAGCATTTTAAACAATGTTACTCTTTACATGGTGTTAGCATTAGCTTTAACAGTAACAATTTCACACACACTTATAAACTGTTATAAAATTTGTTTAAAATAGCATTGTTCTAGTAATGCAGAGAACGGTGCTGTTAGCCTAAATGAATACAGCATCTGTAGGAGTTTTTATTTTATATCCAGTGGTAGCATCAACATGTTTACAAATACAGCACATGCTGTTAGCGTCATTAGCTCTAGACCAGGGGTGGCCAGTTCCAGTTCTCGAGGGCCACTGTCCTGTTTGTTTTCCACTTTCCCTGCCTGACCTGCTGCTGATTACCTGGCTCAGGTGTGTTCAGTCAGTCAGAAGCTGGAAGATACCATCTTAGATGAAAGTGGAGTGAGGAAAGATAAAGTGAATTGGTATCTTCCAGCTTCTGACTGACCGAAAACACCTGAGCCAGGTAATCAGCAGCAGGTCAGGCAGGGATAGTGGAAAACAAGCAGGCCAGCGACCCTTCGAGGACTGGAACTGGCCACCCCTGGTTTAGTGTTAAACATTTGTATTGCGATTCTACCATTTTAAACCCCTGTTAGCATTCATTTCATTGTTGTCTTAAGCAGAATCAGAATCACCTTTATTGGCCAAGTATGTTTGAACTCACAAGGAATGTGTCTCCAGTACAAACACTCAATGTGCTTGGAAGCAAAATCATTAAATATTTGCATTTAAAGTAGAAACGAGAATAAGAGAAAAGAAAGATTCTGTTTACAAATGTAAAACACACATACTGTATGTACTAAAGGCACTACAGTGTTAAGACACAAAGAGGATGGGGCAGAGACTCTGCTGACTGTGATGCAGGAGCAAAACATACGTTAAAAAGAATTATTCCTTACATCCAACTAAACCCTGTGAATTAAGAGGAAAATACTCTACACCTTTCAGCTTTCATCCGTGGCTGTTTGGCCTGTCCTCATAAAACACTTTTGATGAGTCCTGCCTAGTCTGTGAGGGTGTTGTGTTACAAAGACACTGAAACTGTGCTGTTTGTGAAGCAAGAGTTTCACCCAGGGTAAAGAGAATGATTTGCAGTACTAACTTAATTAAAGAAAAGAAATAATATATCAGGCTAATATTGCAGAACAGAGAGTTGAGAGATGCTGTATTCTATATCTCTCTCTGATGTAGTTTTGCTGTTGCAGTAAATATGAATATTTTGTTATATTAAAATGACTCCATGGATGTCAGATGACAAGTTCGATCAGTTCTTCACTTCCCTTCTTCCGTTTCTAAAAATCAGTGAGTAGATTATAAAATTAAAACACTTCATCAAATATTTTCTGTCCTCACTCACTCGACTTCCTGTTTGCTCTGCTGTTAGCATTAGCATTAGTGACCTACCCGACCGTCTTGTGTGTCTCCATCAGCACCGTCCCGTCTGACCCCGGGAGGGGCATCGAGTTGTAGCGGACGTTCACCTGACTGCGACGCAGCAACACCTCACGGCCGATCTTTAGCCCCTCGTACAGGACAGCCAATAGGAACACACCGATACATGCCCCGACCATTTCTGATTGGACCACAGGGTGAGGGAGGAGTGTTCATGTGCGTACAAAGGATGCAGATGCAGAAGAAAAACATAGTTATAATAATTTAAATAAAAACTACATAAATGCAATAAAATATAACAAGGAAAATGTAAATATAAGAGAATAACATGTTATATAATCTATATAAAATAAGTATGGCGTATATGTAAACATATCAAACAAGAAGTATAACAAGCTTAATTCCAAATATAAAATCTAAAAGTAAAAAGTAACAAAGGAATAATTTCAATGGAAAACAACTACTAACATGGCCCTCAGCGCTTTGACTGTATAAAAGAGGTCTAAGCAAAACGTGTGGATGGATCTACAGTCTGATCCCGAGCTGAATCCAGTAACAGAGGAGTGTTAACAATCAGTAAGACTCAGTACTTATAGAGACCCAGTACTGCAACAACAGCACGTCTCATATAAACTAATGTTAAATAGCAAATAAATAAATACTGGAAGGATGCTCTGGGTCCGGTTTACATCCAAAAACTACACTCGGCATATTTACTGTCAACAGGTAAAACTTTGGCATCAACTCCTGGTCACTGAAAAGTTGCCCTGGCCGCTCTGAGACCAGAGGTTTCAGGTTTCTCACCGCACTCCTGAAATCTGCAGATATTTGCAGGCGAACCGTGATTGGCTGTCAGATTTGTGGGGTCATAGATTTCATTGCCTGTCCCTGGTTGGACCTCAGATTTCAGGAGAGCAGACAGACACCTTCCCCTTCAGCAGAGGAACAGGGAAACAGCCTGTCAGTGACAAACTACACATCTACACCAGGCACAACAACTGAGGGCCGATGTTTACGGGCTGAAAAAATAATGAAAACAAACAAAAAAAGAAAACAAAAACATACTGAGTGGATATTTATAAAAATCATCTAATGTAAAACTAAATACATACATACGGTTTATATAAAACTAAAATCTAAATAAAAGTACAAAACTAACCATAATAACATTTTGACTACAATAAAAATGCAAAAATGTCTAAATATAAAAAAGTTGATTGTACAAAACATATAAATGTAAAATGGAATAAAACAGATTGTATTAGTGCACAGAGGGTGAGCGACATGTAAGACACGAGTTGCCTCTCTCTCTCTCTCGCTCTCTCTCTCGCTCTCTGACCTCCAGGGGAGTTGATGAGCAGGCCGCTGAACAGCAGCTCCACGTTGTTGTAGCCGAAGTAGAAGGTCATCATCTAGGCAGCGACAACAGTAGCATGTTATCACCAGACTGTACAGCCGGGTTCCCTAAAGGCACGCCCACTCCTCAGCATGATGATGACACACATACACACTTAGATACCACATGACAATATGCACTTCTAACGTGACCGAGTATCCCGTGTTGCAATAAACACACATCTGTCATTTGGAACAAACCAAACAGCTGTGGTACATTCAGTGAGTTTTGATGGCTGAATTGTGAACAGACCTCCTGCCTTTACACACAGACACACACCCACACCAAGCTTGATTTGTGGTTCTGCATTTAATCTACCCAGAGCCTACGCCGCAGGCCACGTGAGTGACCTACATCATCATGAGCACTTATACTTGTGCCCGGTGTGTCTGTCTCACCCTGCAATGATCCCGCCAAAGGGCTAGTGGGCGGTAGAGGTTCCTCACCACCTACAAACAATGGCGACTGAAACTGAGCCGGTCATGTTGGAGTTAAACCTGACAGATGCTGAGCAGCAGTTACTTTTACTGAAATGACCACTTAAGCTCAGCTGAGGAAGAACAAGGGGGATTAATCAGGCTTCTCTGGCCAGTGAGAGACATGAACTAGGAAATGTGATACAACCAACCATGGCTGTTGTCGTCTGCGTGGCCACAACATGTAGTCACATTTCTGGAGACATGTGTTTTAGTCTGTGGCTTAGGGTACAAGGCTATGCTTTACCAATTCAATGCAAAACCATAAATCAAGATTTAGGAGGCGTGGCACAAACAAGGCAGCCATGTTGATGCTTCGCAGTAATGGGCGGCATCCAAGTGTACGTACATATCTGATGTTACATTCTGCAGCAGTGCCGAGCCCCACCCCTCACCATTCCACTCAGATGTCCGTGGTTCCCATCACTCCCCCCTCCTCCTCCTCCTCCTCCTCCTCCATGGTCGTGTCCACCACTGGTGGTAGTCGCCATGGTCTGGTGGTGGGTGTGGTCCATCTCCATGGTGCTGTGGTCCATGGCGCTGTGGTCCATGGCTGCAACCAACACAAGCTCACACTTAGGTGTCAAATTATTTGGGTACATCCCAAGTCTCCTATAAGCATCCACAGTTCCTTCACATCCATCTTTTCCTTGTGTCCTCGACTCACCCACATAAATGTGAGGAGAAAGGAACTGAGGAAACACGCCCAGAGACACAAGATGTCCTTTCCTCTGATCGTCCATTTGAAGAGTCCATTCACCAACTGACATCCCAAAGCTCTGAGGATCAAGAAGGCTGCTGGCGTAGCCATGAACAAGGACCCATGACAGCCTCCTTCACATGAGTCCTTTATGATCCAACACCTCTTTATCAGAGATCAGTTGGTGAGTGGACGCGGAGCAAAGGATGTCTCATGTCTCTTACAGCGTTACCTCAAATGTCAATGAGGGAAACATTGGTGCATATCAGAGACAGCTGTACTTTGACTTTTACTTTGAAACACACACACACGTACTTTAACTTTTTCTTCCCCAAGCTGAGTCACAGTTAACTTTCACTCTGAAACAGACAGGTGAACTTTAACATTCAGTCACTCTGGACTCAGATCAGTTTTAGTCTGGACAGATGAACTTGACCAAGTCAACGTTATTCTTATCATAACACCAAAGTGTGTGAGAGCCTTAAGAGCACACACACAATCTCATACCTTCATTAACAGCGACATTAACTCGCCCAGAGAGAAAGACAGACTGAACACCGATAACATCCCAGCAGCCAATCAGCTTGTCCCAGAGGCAGCATCACTCAGCAGACACCCTGCTGTAATGTGATTGGCTGCCAGGCCCCAAGGCTACTGGGGCAGAACTGCCCAATCAGAGTGCTCCAAGTTTCTGTCTGCCATTAGTCAATTAGATCATAGAGTCGTTAGCATTAACGGGAAGGTCAGTCTCCACCGCTGGCGGCACTTATCTCCTGTTTTCTGTTTGGATGAGTCAGTATCATTGAGAGTTATCAATGTACTGATACCATGTTTTTTACCACCATGTCTACTGAGTAACGTGTACCTGGCTTAATGTCTGCAGTCTGCTGATGATGATAAAAACGTGCAACAGCACCCGTGGCCACAGATTTCGGTGCAACATTCGGCATCCCCACTTTGAGTCGCAAACATTAATGTGACGCTGTCTGAAAAACTGCGACTGAAAATACCACCTTTCTGTCTGGAGAAGCCGTGCTCGGCTTTTTTTCTTTTTTTTTTTTTAACTAAAACGTTTTGAAGAAAATGGCAGATTCCCACATAGTGAAACAAACCTGAGGAAGAAGTTGCTCAGAACAACGTGGACTTAAACACATGAACACGACTCGTCTGTTTGAAGACACACTCATTACTGAAGTGTACTGCATTATCATCATTATTAATGTTTTATCTCCCGGCTACGCTGTGTGCTGATAAGCTCCTCAGTTAGCTGCAGACATGATCTCTGTGTTTCACTGCTGTAATCAGCTCTTTTTAAACTGTTACTGACCTTTGATGCATTTCAGGCCTGACGTGCACATCAACACTAAATCTGAGCCCTGGAGAAGCTGTAAACCGATTTATTATGTTCCTGTAAATAATCTGCAGGTGTTGACTTTTGACCCTGACACAGGGTCATTTAAGTGGCTTCCAATATGTTAACGTAAGCGTTCCACTTCCTGACGGACACATTCGCAGCAGGAAGAAACACACCAGAATCATTCTTTAACTAATTTTTTATCCTCATTGAACAGAGATGGTGTCACTGATATGAAGTGATGTCAGGTGTCGTCTGTGTCTCACCTTTGACTGCAGGTAACCCTCACCTCCCTTTTAGTGCTGATCTTCCTTCCTTTCTCACCTCTTAAGGCAGAGCCACACCAAGATGACGTGAAAGAACTAGCAGTGACGAAAGATGGCCTCTGCGTCACCTCACACCGGCTTTGTCTGGGTCAGTCGGGCTGAAAAGTGGTACTTGAACACACTGCACAGATGACAGCCAACGGCCGACTGGCACGTACGTTCTGCGCCTGTGTGACAGAAATAACTCCCCTACCAGCAGGTGGCGGTGTCTGCATTCACCATTCTGAAAGGCAAAGAAGGAGAGAATGCAGAAGTTTAAGCAATAAACAAAACAAATACCATAAACTAAATTTATGGTATTTGGGAATCGTAGACTAGATAATGAACTTCAAGTGAAAATTGGGGGAGCTAATATAGAACGAGTATATGAAATCAAATTTCTAGGTGTCATATTGGATGATAAATTCTCCTGGAAATCTCATATCAGATATATTCAGCACAAAATAGCAAAGAATATATCAATATTGGCAAGGGTTAGATATATTTTGGACATAAAAGCACT